GCCTGTACCCCAGTTCTTAATGCATAAATAAATATTTTAAAATAATAATAATATCACAAGGCAATACTTACTTAATAGAATTCTATGGTAGTGGCATATATAATAAAATAGGATGAAAGTAATTAAATACCCTTGATAGTCAATTAATCCCTTCAGATACAATTTGGACAATAATATATTACCCAGGATTCAAAAGGCTGTGTGGGGAAAAAAAAATCAAAATTTCTTCACCCAGTCTCTTCTGCGTATTGTATGTACTATCAGGTGATTTCCAGGATGATTTACAAGGAAAAAATTGACCTCCAAACTAAAGGAGATATTTGGTTTCCAAGCTAAACCAAAATAAAGTCCCATATGACTTTACATAGTAAACCCAATTTTGAACTATTGGAAGAAAAAACTAGAAACACTATATATTTTGTAACTGTAGTCAAATGCTCTGCCCGAGTTATATCCCCACATTACTTTGTATTATATATTTGTACTTGACTTTTAGCACCTACAAATTTAATGGTATTATAATCAATGGGGCAAAAGTCATCATAATTTCACAAAAAAGAATCCTACTCACAAAAAGGAAAAAAAAGAAAAAACTTCAGAAAGTAGTTTTAAGCTAAATTATTACCTTATACCTTATTACCTGGTCCTACCTACCGTGACTATTATCATCTTGTCCACATGAGGATTTAGTCAAGATATTCCACATACTTCACATTTCTATGTTGACCAGGAACTATGCAAACTGAACAAAAAAAAAAAAAAAGAATTACTAAGCCAAGTCAAAACATTTTGTGGCTTATTCCAAGTCTTTAAAGCATTAGCATTCAAAACAAAACAAAGCAAATTTATTCAGTAAAATAATCCCTGAAACTTAACAATAAAACTACCAGAAATTATGAGAGCAAATGCTACTAGCTGAATTGTTAACTAGCAACTTCCTACTCTACTGTCTATACTATCTATTATTTCTTACTAACAAACGACTAAGTAACGTCCAATTCTTTGGCAGAGAAGAGAGTCAGAAGATTACAGATTCTAGAAACACTTATACCACAGTATGAATCTAGGCACTTCTGACAAGAGCACTAACTAGAAAATCAAGCTTACAGTCAATTAAGATATCTGCCCAACAAAATAAAAGTACATGTAATTAAAGTGCTATGCACATTTTAGAAGTAATCTTGTTAGAAATTACTGTTTGTAAATGAGTCTGGAAAACCATATTCAAATGGCAAAAGTCTTGGAGACAGACTTTCATTATAAAGTACAGTACCAATTTTTAGAATGAATTCCAAACTCACAACCTGTGATAGGTGCTCTCCTCTCTTTTCTGCATCTACCAATAAGATACATTTTCAGAACCTGAAACTGATGGCACCTGAAATTAATGGAAACTACAACTTCTTATCCGGGAAAACTCCCTCAACTTTAGGTGATTCCACCAGGGACCCAAAGGATAGTGACATACAGAAGTGGAAATGCAAGAGAAACAAAGCAATCCAAGGTCATGCGAGCAGATGGTATCGATAACAAGATTTTCAGTGCTTATCAACAAGTCTGACTACAGAATCGAAAAAGATAGACTATATAAGGGGGGAGCGGGAAATGAGCAGGTGAGGTCCGGGAGGAAAAATCGGTGCGGGTAGGGCATCAGAGGTCAGGAAGTTGGGGTTTAGGTTCTGCCTGGAGAAAGAGTGGGAGGATCTACAACCTAGTTAAAGAAAATTTAAATTCTGTTTGAAGTGAGTAACGGAGAGCTTCAATCATAAGTCGATTGCAGAACAAATGCCTTGGCACCCCGAACACTATCTTCCAGAATGACTCATTGTCACTGAATGAAGCGTAATCACAGAGCTCCTCCTCCGAACAGGGACAATACTTTCGAGTACTCCTTTTCATAGTGACGCTCAGAAAAACACCAAAAGACAGAGCGTTCAGCTCGCGGTGAAGGGGGACCCTCTCGGTATCAGCGAACGGGAAGGCCGGCCCGGGCCGGTCTGGGCGGGTAGCTTGGGTCACATCGCCACCAGACGGAGGGCCGACCCCACGCCTCGCGCCCCGGGGCGTCTCCCAGCCCAGGTGACAGCACTTGGATCTCGATCTTCGCGCGGCCCCCCAGACCCGGAGTCCGCGCACCCGACGCCCTTGCGAGGCTGCCGGCCTCACCTTCCCCACGCCCCAACCCCTCCGCTCGGGGAGTGCTCAGCCGCCCAAAACAAAACAACTTTGGCTTGGGGAGTCAGCTGAGCGCTCCATCCCTCACGGGCTAGGTGGAGGTTAGAAGTCGGGGAAAGGAAGAGGAAACCCAGCGCCGGGAGCAGCTGAGGGGCCGCGGCGGGAGGAAGGCGGTCGCAGTCCGCGGGTGGCGGCGCGAGGGAAGGGGAGGACACCCGGGTGAGACGCGAGGCGCTGCTGAGCGGTTGGGGGTGGCGCTCCGACGGCCGCGGCAGGGTGGGCGGACTGCCAAGGAAGCAAGCGTCCTGAGGCAAGGGCGCCCCGACAGCCGCGTCGCGACAAGTCGGCCTGCCGGACGCCGCGCCACCGCCCGCGGCTGGCCCGCACCTGCCCACCCGCACGCCTGCCTCTCAGCCCGCACTCCGGCTGCCCAAGTTCGCACCCAGACAGGGCTTGGCGCCTCAGCCACTCGCACACTCACCGCGCGCGCGCCGCC